CTACGTCATAAGCATTTTGAAATGGTATAAAGAATGAAATGTTTCGACTTCATTTGACATCCCGAAATGAGTGCATCAAAGTGGGTCATAAAAGAGTCAAAACAATTATTTTCTAGCCAAAAAAATTTGTGGGGTCATTTGATCCCATGTGAGTCCGCCCCTGTATGTGGTGCTAATATGACATTAAATGATAAGTACAATTAAATAAATCATTTAATTTTACCTTTTATTTAATCTATTATTTAATGCCACGTTAGTGTATCATAGACTTGATTATATTCCCAATAAGACTAATAGCATTATTCTATGGAATTATGTTTGAAAACAGGACATGCTAGGATCGGAACAATCATTATCATTTTTGCCCCATTGGGAATTTAGTTAGGCGGAGTGGGAAAAGAATTCACAAATCCTCCGTCTATTGTTGGTATAATTAATTATTTTTATATTATTTTTTTAATTTTGATTATAAAATTTAAATTTTAAAAAGAAATAAAAAGATTCAAAAGAGTTCATAGAATTTGCGACCAGGACTATGTTCTCGAGCTCCATTTGGGACGAGAAACTTTGTTATCCTTGCATGGATTGGCAATTAATTTTTGTCAAATTCAAATCTAATTTTCAGAACTACACTATTATTAAGGGATTACAAATTTTGGAATATATATTTGACTAATGATTCTATGGCTATCATAGTTGAGATGTTCAGACTTTATCAATACTGCAAAAATAATTGAAATTATGCGACACACTCAGACACATGCAAAAGTTCATGTACAAAGAACAATCAACCCGCTCGTATGGGAGAGACCAGCAAAGATAGAGAATTTTTGTTTGTCTCTCCTTCTCTTAAAATTCCTCTTTATTCATACTCATTTTCACATTTTCACACAATAAAATATTTTACACGTAAATTTTAAAAAAAAAATCTACTTTTTAATTATACATTCTCAAAAAATTCAATATTCAAAACAACTTTAATCAAAGATTCAAACATTTGACAGTAAAACAAACTTCAATCTTATTCACCACCCATATTCTCCAATTTTTCCATTCTCAGAACCATGTGGGATTTAGACCGACGAAATTTACCTTTTCTCCATTTATGGCTTCTTGAATCTTGATTTTCAATCTCAATTTTGGAACTAATTGATACGAAGTTAAGGAAAGCAAAAGAAAAGAGACGTATTGAAAGGCAAAACTCTGTGCATTTTATTGATAAAGAAAGAGTTCCTATATATAGGCTTTACATCAAACAAATTCATCCTAGCACTAGCCACAACTTCTATAGAATAGGTTCACACATAAGACACCATGGAATAGAAAACAAACTACCTAAAAACTCAGTCAAACCTACCAATGACTAGACTTCCAATAAATATGAAATAAAACATTTAAATCTTAACAACCCCCCCCCCCCCCCCTAAACTGAAATTCGCTGAAATTAGTTTAAAAGAAAATCAACCATCTGTAAGGTCTTCCTTGACAGCAGCATTTGAGCAAACTCCAATTAGACCGCGCAACTTCACAAATGTAGCCAACTTGAGAGGCTTGGTCTGTAAGAAAATCAACCATCTGTAAGGTCTTCCTTGACAGCAGCATTTGAGCAAACTCCAATTAGACCGCGCAACTTCACAAATGTAGCCAACTTGAGAGGCTTGGTCTGTATATCTGCAACTGGGTCTTCATTTCGACAATAAACCAGTTTGATTGTTCCATCATTCTTGAGATCTCTTAAAAAATAATTTTTTAAATCAATATATTTGCTTCTTCCATGTAGTACAGGATTCTTGGAGAGTTTGATTGCTGAGCTGTTGTCACAAAAAACTGTAGTAGCTTCAACTTGCTTTAACTATAGCTCTTCAAGAATTCTTTTCAACCAGATAGCTTGACAAGCACAAGCTGTTGCGACAATAAATTCAGCTTCTGTAGTTGACAAGGTGACAATTGGTTGCTTCTTAGAAGACCACGAACATCCCTTGTGCCTAACATAAAAACATAGCCCGAAGTGCTCCTTCTATCATCTTGATCTTCTGCATAATCACTGTCAGTAAACCCAAAAAACTCTAAATTTTCACCCTTCTTGTAGAACAGCCCAAAATCTCTAGTCCCTTGCAAGTAAAGAAGGATTCTCTTGGCTACTAACGAATGCACTTATGTTGGATTCTCCATATCTACGTATTAAACTCACAGATTGTATTATGTATGGCCTTGTTGCAGTTAAATACATAAAATTGCCAACAATTTGCTTGTAAAGTGTGCCATCCACCTTTTTCCCTTCATGATCTTTGTTTAGCTTCAAGCCAAACTTAGTTGAAGTGCTTACAGGATTTCAATCCTTTATCCGAAACCTATCCAAAATATCTCACACATACTTCTCTTGAGAAATGAAAATCCCATTAGCTACTTGCACTACTTGTATGCCAAGGAAATAATGCATCATACCAAGGTCAGACATTTCAAATTCAACCATCTTTAAACATGACACCATCATTTCTAGTAAATATAAGATCGTCTATAGATAAACAAACAATGAGTAGTTTCTCCTTATCTCCAATTTTTACAAAAATTGTGTGCTCATATGGACATTTGTGAAAGCCTTATTTCAAAAAATAAGCCTCAATACAACTATACCAAGCTCGTGGAGCTTGTTTTAATCCATAAAGAGCTTTCTTTAATCTATATATTTTATGCTCATTTTCGATCTTAATATAACCAAGGGGTTGTTCTACAAATACCTATTCCTCCAAGTTTCCATGCAAGAATGTCGATTTGACTTCCAGTCTGAAAATAGACCATGAGTTCTGCATCGCTAATTCGATCACCGATTTAATTGTATCATGTCTTGTAACGGGAGGAAAAACTTCTATATAGTCCATCCATATTCTTGCTTATATCTCTTAGCTACCAAACGCGCCTTATACTTATCCACTTCACCATTTTCCTTTAGTCTTGTTTTGAAGACCGATTTTACACCAATGGTTTTGTGCCCGTTTAGAAGATCAGCCAACTCCCAAGTATCACTTCTTTCAATGGCATCAAATTCATCATCCATCGCCTTCCACCATTTTGCATCTTTGACGGCACTTTCAAAATTTGTAAAATCACAATCTGAAAATAATGCAAAGTGAGTGATTGGATTTTCAATTTCAATTATCTCATAGTCTTCCATCCATGCGGGCCTTTTTCGAACACAATAAGGAGATCAAGCTGTCGCATCAATAGCTTCTGCTGCTATTGGCAAAATTTCAATAGCTGTTGGAGTTGCTTCTGATGAATTTTCATGCATAAAGGTTGTTGAAGTTAGCTCTTTTTCAAAATCATTTTCAAAAAGAACTTAAGTAGGTTGTTGTCTATTCCAATACCAAGTGTTTTCCTCATCGAAGACAACGTCTCGGCTCATCACAATCTTCTTGGTTAGAGGATTGAACAATTTAGATGCTTTTGGATGCATCACTAACTACAAGAAAGACACACTTTTCCCCTTTACCATCAACTTTCTTCATTTTTTCAACTAGGATATGTGCATAAGCAATGCAAGCAAAAATTTTAAAATGATCTACAGCTAGTCTCCTTACACTCCAAGCCTCCTCTGGTATCATATTTTGAACAGTAAATATAGGACCTCTGTTCAAGATATAAATACTCCAATTTATTGCTTCAAGTCAAAAAGTTTTTGGGATTCTCCCTCTTGCCGACAAACTTCTCACCACATTGAGGATAAATATGTTTTTCCTCTCTGATACTCCATTTTGTTGTGGTATATAAGCAATTATCAACTCTCTTCAAACGCCATGAACTTCACAAAAAACTTCAAATTCGGTTGAGCAATATTCTCCACCACGATCTATTTGGAGGGTCTTAATGGCCTTTCATGTTTCATTTCCCACATGAGCTCTGAAGCTTTTAAATGCACAAAAAGTTTCTGATTTTTCTTGTAAAAAATAAACCCAAGTTTTCAAGTGTACTCATCAATGAAGGTAATTAAGTATTTTTACCTCCATTCGAAAATGGTGTTATAGGGTACAATTATCGGAATGAACTAGCTCCAAAACACCTTTTTCTCACCATGATTTTCCTTGAGGAAATTGAGAACGATCTTGTTTGCCAACAACACATTCTTCACAAACTTGGGAAGGAATACTAATCTGAGGAAGACCTATCACCATATTTTTTTGCTAGAGGATCTTCAATCCACCAAAACTTAAGTGGCCATAATGAAAATGCCACAACCAAGAAGAATCTTTTATTTCAGCTACTAAACAGGATTCTAAACAGGATTGCACTCTTTCAATCTTCAATGGAAACAATATGTTTGAACTCATTTGCAACAACAATAGCTCCTCTAGTAGGACCATAAGTCACAAACACCCTTTTGAATATTGATTACATAAATAACTCTTTTCTAGCAATTGAGCAACACTTAACAAATTGCTTTTCAAACAAATTGCTTTTCAAGTCAGGAACTTCATGGACACTAGAAATTATTTCTACAAAATCATTCTTGGTTCTTATCTCAACATTACCCTTTCTTATCAATCTCATAGTGGATCAATCACCAAAACTTATTGTAGAATGAAAGCATTAATTTAAATAAGAAAGAAAAAGATTTACTTCCACACATGTGGTTACTGCAGCCCGTATCCACATACCAAACATCAGAATTAGGAACCTGATTAGCTTGAACAGCCATCAACAAAGTTTCCAATTCCTTCGTAGCAAAATTTGATTGCTCTTCCTTTTCTTTGTCATTAGGTAGCCTAGTAAGACATTCAGAACGATGATGTCCAAATTTATGATATCGAAAGCACTCTACCTTGGATTCGTTAAAATGTTGAGCTTTGAAATTGATCATTATTGACCTTGAAAGACCTGCTGCCATCTCTATTACCTAGATCTCCCCTTTCTCTACCTCTATCTCGACCTCTACCCCTTTCTTTAGAGTTTGAGAAATGAGTAGAGGTAGAAGCCTTAAAAGCTTGATCCTCTAAAGTTGAACTTCAGTTCATCTTCTGGTCATAAAATGTTGAGCCTTGAAATTGGTCATTATTGACCTTGAAAGACTTGCTGCCATCTCTATTGCCTAGATCTCCCCTTTCTCTACCTTTATCTCTACCTCTAGCCCTTTCTTTAGAGTTTGAGAAATGAGTAGAGGTAGAAGCCTTAAAAGCTTGATCCTCTAAAGTTGAACTTCAGTTCATCTTCTGGTCATGGATCGACAAGGAACTCTGTAATTCATCAAGAGAGAATGCATCTATCTTTTGATTTTTTAGTGGAACATAAGACATAGTCCAACATTGGTGTCATGGAACGTAATATCTTCTCCACAATGGTGACATCTTCCATCTTCTCACCATGAAATCGCATTTTGTTGCTTATCTCCATAGTCTTAGCACAGTAGCTAGTGACAAATTCCCCATTCTTCATTTGTAGAGTCTTAAAATCTTTTCTCAAAGCTTGAAGCTGTGCATTCCAGCTTCTTCACTCTAGCAGAGCCTTCATATTTTTTTCATGGAACCCCAAATATCTTTGGAAGTTTATTTGCAAAGAATTTTTTCCAAGATGGAACGATTAATGGCCTGAAAAAGGTAATTTTTTACATTCAACTTTTAGCTTTCGCACTTCTAACTCTGTTTTCTGGGCATCCATCAAAACTGTATTTGGTGCAAGTACATCAATTCCAAACTCAACAATTGGTCAATACTTCTTTGACTGTAGAAAATTCTCCATTAGCATACTCCAATGGTCATAATGGCCATCGAAACGTGGAATAGCTGCCTGCACAAAATTTGAATTTGAAGCCATCGATTCCTAAAACAAAAGCCAAAATGAGAAAATATGTTACGCAATTGACTAGAAGATTATAACAATAATAAAATAAACAAGAACAAAATAAAAAAATACAAAGATTTACGTGGAATCCCAAGATGGAAAAAAATTTATAAATAGACGATAAATTTCAATTATCAATTTGTCAAATCCTTCAATCAAAATCAATGCATCAATCTCACATTTAAATCTTTAGTATTTTTCAAATTTTTGGAACAAAACACAAGTGCTCAAGTGTTCTTCTTCTTAAAGGCTTGTTTAAATCCTATAAATCATTTGCCGGCATATCTCTTTAAGCACTCATATAATCTTAGAGGGGGCAAATATAATTTGAGGATAACGTGGTCAAGTCTGTTTTATTATGGTACTCTTGATGCAATTAGCTTGTTGTCTTCTCCCATTCTCTATATTTATTTTGTCTAAAGGTGACCTAAAGTGGAGAGTGTGAATTGGGCAGGGTATTGAGGCATTGCCCACTTGCTTTTGCTAAAATAGTTTGGTCTTTTGGAATTTTTTTTTCCTTCTTTTTCCTTCTTCTGTTTAACATTAATGTAAAATTTGAATAAGTTCTTAATTTTTACATTAGTCTATGTGCGAGGTTCGAGCCCAGCATGCAAAAAATGTGAACCAACATGGTTGCCACAGTGTTGATCGTGCAAGCACAACTTAGGCTTGAGATCTGTGAAGTAAATAACGTTATTATAACAAATCTTAGTATATTTAATATAACTCCAGAAGCATTTCGTATTTCCAATTATGATGGCACCAAGAAATATCACAGATCTGGGCTCCAAACAAATTTTACTCTTTTTTGGTTTCATTGTCAAAACCCTAACAACTGACCCAACAAACTCATGTGAGTTGCTTCAATGAACTGAACGAAAAGGCGTACATATAAATTTACTATCTCACTACATCACTAACAAAAATGTTTATCTTACCAAGAAAAAAAAATCTCTCTCAACTAGAAGTTGGAGAAGAAAATCATAAGAGAGAAAAATCTAAAAACAAATGACGTATATCAGAGGAATGAAGATTAAGGCACTAGAGAGCATCTTTTATACCCTCATTGTCAACCATTGTTCAATCTATCTGATCTAATGTTCTAAAGCAACTCATGACTTTGGACAGCTATTGAGTAGCGAACTACTAAAGTAGCATTACATTAAAAGAGCAACTTTAAACGTGGATCCGAGTTTTAGGCAAGCAATATGAAGTTATTAGGTAACTGTGTATTGGTTTGGGCCAAGGCCCATTCTCATTATTACCATGGGCTTTTGGCATCATACCCTGACAAATCTCCACTTTGACATCATCGAATTTAATACACAGCAAATTTACGCTCTTTCTACTTTGATATTTTCCTTCAACCATTTTTTGGCACCAAGTATTCACCTATAAAAGAAAAATAACCTACCTTCAACATTCAGAATTTTAAACAGGATTTAAACTCGTTTACTGATAGTACCTTAGAGCACATATATGATGGATTAAACTGGGATGGAATTTTTTTCAAGAGACAGTTATTCCTAAGAATTAATATCTCTAATAAAATGTATTTAACATTAATATGCATAGTTCTCTAATGAAAAACAGGATATTTCGCATAAGTGAATAGTACTTTAACTATTTGAATAGACAACTACAAGTTTAGAAAGCATATTAATTTCGAATAACACTTTTAACAACAATGCTTCCTTCAATTCTTTTGTTGCTGATGAGAATTACAAACTCTGATTCTATACCAAAAAACTAAATATAATCACACAAAAAATAAACACACAAGAATATGCAAGATTTATAGAACCCTTATAATAGCACTCTATTTATAAGAAAGAAAAATTAGGGCAAAGTCCAAATTATAAGTGTGAAATTTCTCAAATATTCTTAAAGAAATTTTGGTTCGGGGCCCTAGAAAAAAGGGTTTCTACTCCCCTTCCAACCTGTGCAGGGACCTTATCGACGAAGGTCAATCCATGTATTGACTTCGTATAATTACAAAAATTAGGATCCATAACTTGACCGTTGTTGCAATATATTCATCTTAAATCTTAAGTAGTAAACAGTGCAACTACAGGTTGTAGTTGGGATTTCCAACTTATACAAGTACAACACAAAGTGAACATGTATGCATTAGTTGACTTCTTATCATCCGTATCTCTAGCAAATATTGCATCTAAAAGTTCCTTAAGTATTGTTCCTGTTGGAAAAAATGGTTAATGGGTCAACTTTGAGCCCAAATTTCAGTGGGACCCACCTTTTAAATAATACGGGACCTAGCATATTCACGTTCTACTCCGCGAGATGATTAACGTGATATATTTATTTATCGAAAACCATTTAAAATTGAATAAAATATTAAGTGTTAAAGTAACCCACATAAACTAAGGATTATGGAAGAATTTTATTTGCCAAACACTTATCCCACATAGAAAAATTAGAAAACTTTGGTTTGGTTTATAAGGTGGAAGTTTGGAATTATGTTTGGGCCCTAAGGGGAACCAATAGTTTTTGGAAGGGGGAAGACCTATATCCTATTGGGTTCGGTCATAAACCCACACGCGCGCGCCGCCGCCGTCCGTCGGCCCGGCCGGCTCGGCATGTGCCCGAGTCTGGTGCGGGTCCGGGTGAACCTTTACCCTATATTAACTTTTTGGACAAAATTTATTTAAAATTTTGGGCCAAATTGTAAATAATCAAATTCTTGGGTACAAAATGAAATTTAAATTTTGGCTTATTCCGGGTGTTTTATTTTCTTTTAACAGTCGACTGTTTCGACTGTTTACCGACCAAACAGTCAACTGTTTACCGACCAAACAACCGACTGTACAGACACGACTTTTAAGAACAGTATGTCTGTTCGGATTTTTGAGGCTTGTCTGAAAGGTGATGACTGTTCGAATGACCACGAACAAGTCTATAAATAGCCAGCCTTTCTACCAGAAAATTTACACCATTTTCATTGCAAACTTTCTCTGCTTTGAATCTCATCTCCCTCTCTCTCGTGTTCTGATATTGTCTCGAAGTAAAAGGCACTTCGTTGAGTTCGTTGGAACTCCTACAGACTGCAGTGCTGCTTCCGTAGGAGACGAAAATTTGTTCTATCTTGGGAAACGATTGCTGGACGCTTTTAGCACCATTGAAGGCAGCAAATTCGTTTTAAGGAAATATCGTGAAGTCGGTGGGCTCGAATTACAACTTTAGATCCTGTTGATCAATCATTACATTCAAGTGATTCTGTCGGAATTTTTTCGAAGGAGTAACTTCAAACTCCAGAAACAACAATCTTAAAACGAATTTTCTTTTTTCAATTATTATTTGTTTCTATTTCTACTCCTTCTTACCGTTAATCTTCTGATTGCATTCAAAAATGGCAACTTCTGGTACCACACTCCCGAATACGATCGGGGAAAAATCAGAAAAGTTTAATGGGTCAGATTTCAAGCGTTGGCAACAAAAAATACTTTTTTATCTGACGACATTAAATCTAGCTAAATTTCTCAAAGAAAACGTGCCTTCATATACCGAGCAAGACAGTGATGCTGAAAAATTGGCTGCGGTTGATGCATGGAAGCATTCTGATTTCTTTTGCAAAAATTATGTGCTTAATGGACTGGATAACACATTATATAATGTGTACTGCAATGCTAAGTCCACAAAAGAACTGTGGGAATCTTTGGACACAAAGTACAAAATCGAAGATGCCGGCACGAAGAAATTCATTTTCGGTCATTTTTTGGATTATAAAATGGTTGACAACAAGACCGTCATATCCCAAGTTCAAGAACTTCAGATCATACTTAGCGATATCCATGCAGAAGGAATGAAACTAAGTGAATCATTCCAAGTCGCTACACTAATTGAGAAATTACCACTTTCATGGAAGGATTTCAAGAATTATCTCAAGCACAAGCGGAAGGAAATGAAACGTGAAGATATCATTGTCCGATTGAGAATAGAAGAAGACAATCGCAAAACTGAAAAAAGGAATGGTGCATCTAATTCGATGGAATCAAAAGCCAACATTGTAGAAGGAGGCTTCAAGACAAACAAAAAGAGGAAGCACAATGGGGAGGGATAAATTGGTTCTTCAAAAACTGCTAAAAATTTTAAAGGCAACTGTTACAATTGTGGCAAGGCAGGACATCGATCCAAGGATTGTCGAAAGCCAAAAAATGTGAAGGGAAAAACTAACCAGGCCAATGTAACAGAACATAAGAACCTCACTGATAAGATACAAGACATGAATCTTTCTGCGGTCGTCTCTGAATGCAACTTAATTGGAAACACTAAAGAGTGGTGGGTAGATACTGGAGCTACTCGTCACATATGCTCAAACCGTGGGATGTTCTCTACCTACAAAGCAATGGATCATGATGAACATCTTTACATGGGAAACTCGTCATCTTCCAAGGTAGAAGGACATGGGAAGATAGTGCTGAAAATGACAAGTGGAAAAGAGCTCACTCTGAATAATGTTCTTCATGTGCCTGATATTAGGAAAAACTTGATATCTGGTTCTCTACTAAGTAAGAATGGGTTTAAACTAGTATTTGTCTCGGACAAATTTGTACTCTCAAAGAATGAAATGTTTGTAG